ACGTCATGTGCAATGGGTCTATAGTTAAATTTAATCACTTTTTTTATACAACCGGCCCTGACACTGTCACAGCATTATAATTATTCACGGCAGCGAGTGAGTAGAACCACTGTCAATATTATCATGGTTTATTTTTCTAATGTAAGTATAAGAGAATCCGTTACTCATTACTCACAATATACAAACACCCATTGGAACCCAACTATAAAATATTATACCAATTCTTAATTTGTTTGCAATTAAGTAATATTATAAAACACATTTATATGTATCAATTACATAGTTCGAGCTGTAGTAAACAAAGGGGAAATCCCGCTTACGTGGGGTTGGCCCATTACAATAGCATACCTAACTTATGCGAGGCCTACAGAGTAAACTAAAAGCGCTAAAGACAAGCTGATTCTTTTAAATAATGTGTAATTTATCAGGGAAGAACGAAAAATAATATTTAAAGGATATGATAATTTTTGGCTGAGATAGAGCGTTTTCAGTATGCTGGCTTGTCGACTGCCCTGCGGTAAGTGTCAATATGTGGCGGTTCGACGACTCGTCTTGTGCAAGGTGTTCAGTCAAAGTTTAAATCGGTATAAGCTTAAAAATAATTTCATATGATGCGAATATTATGAGTAAAGAATGAAAAAAATATTATGACGATAAAGAAACTTGTGGCGGAGAATGAGCGTTTTGAATCGTCAAGCGGCACGCGTGTTTGCAGTCTCCATCAATATGTCGCGGAGCGATTACATAACTTATGCGAGGCCTCCAGAGAAAACTAAAAGCGCTAAAGACAAGCTGATTATTTTAGATAATGTGTAATTTATCAGGGAAGAATGAAAAATAATATTTAAAGGATATATTAATTTTTGACTGAGATAGAGCGTTTTTAGTATGCTGGCTTGTCGACTGACTGTAAGTGTCAATATGTGGCTGTTCGACGACTCATCTTGTGCAAGCTGTTCAGTCAAAGTTTAAATCGGCATAAGCTTAAATATAATCTCATATGATTCGAATATTATGGGTAAAGAATGAAAAAAAATATCATGACGATAAAGTAACTTGTGGCGTTTTAAATCACCAAGCGGCACGCGTGTTTGCAGTCTCCATCAATATGTCGCTGTTCAGTGACATAACTTATGCGAGGCCTCCAGAGAAAACTAATAGCGCTACAGACAAGCCGAATGCTTTAGGTGATGTGGAAATTATCAGTGAAGAATGAAAAACATTATTCTAGTGTTACATTCATTCCTTACGACGATACAGCGATTTAGATAGGAACTAACCGTGTCTTGCTCAAGATTTAATTGACCCGACACGGTTTGGCGACGTGGCTTATGCAAGCTGTTTAGAGCAATCTAGAAGCAGTAGCGACTCAGTGATTGCGTTATATGATAGTCCTTTTCTTGGCGAAGAATGAAAAAAATTATTGTTAGGATGGGTGAAGGCTTTGTGGAGTTAGAGCCATTCGAACACGAATGTCATGCCTCTGGCTCCAGATTCAATCTGAAACTGGAGCTGCGAATCTGAAACTGGAGCTGTCTGGCTTCTCGTAACTATTAATACCAGTACTGAGAATGTAATTTCATATAATCTACAGTATGTGACATGGTAACTTTAAGATAATAAACCTTCTAACAGAACTTTTTTATTTTAGATGTACTGGTTGATGGTAATTAAATTCAATTATTTAATATTTTGAACAGAAATTGGTTGAGTCTGAAAGACCATGGAGGAAATTTGTGATTTCTGTTTGGGAAGGACAAAAATCTACCTCTTGTGAGAGAAAAGGGTTATGTTACCCTATGGAGTGTCAATACTCTCTCCCTCATGAGAAAACGTGCCTGCCTTCAGACAGGAATAAATTTAAAAAGTAGGGCACATCTGGGCGCATTGCCACTTGGTGAACACATAGTCCATGGGCAAATAATCTGATTTACCCATTAAGTGGCAACACTCCCTCCCTGACGAGTAAAATCGTCTGGCATTAGACAGAATAATAACAGAAAGTAGGGCACATCTGGGCTCATTGCCACTTAAA